GAGATTCATACAAATGACAACCTGCATTGATATCATGAAGATGTTGGGGTATCACTAGGAAAACTAATGCAAAAAACTTGAAAACTTTGAGTTATGACTTGATCCAATATAGTCATAACATTTATATCTAAATGAAATGGTGCTCAATGAAACGATCCAGATTCCACACTATGCTGTGGGTTGGGGAGAAAGCTGCTCTGCGAAGCTGGGCGTTCAGTTTTCTTATGGGGGAACCATACTAGAAGATGTTGGGGTCTCACTAGGAAAACTAATAAAAAATGCTTGAAAACTTTGAGTTTTAACGATAAGGACAAAATAAAGGGTAATGTGAATAGTACCAGGATTGACTTTTTAGTGTAAAATGTGGTTTTTCGTTAAAGTGAACAGTACCGGGAGCTTTTCGTTAAAGTTCCCTAAAATCAAATGACCATATAAATGGTAATCCCTTGTAAGCATATGTATCAATTGTGGTATGGAACATCATGTACATGTGCGAAGAAATTCTAAAAACTGTGATTAGAGGCCAAATTAGAAGTGGAGAGTCCACTATACACATCCTCCATATCGGTGCCTGAAGGAGTACTCGATCCTTTGCCTCCTCTTCACAATGTTGTTATTTATAATTAACTATATTTGTTTGTTTCTTGGAACGTTCTCTTCTTAGGTTTTCTTGGAGACTTCTCAATGTTGAAGTAATTGAGCTATGCTATAGTCAATTGGCATGCATGAGCAATTACAGATTGTAGCTAGATTTTTGTAGAATCCACATTTAATCTATAGTCAAACAATGCTACACGCATAAGTGACTTATCTTAGCAGAATTGAAAATACTTAAGTGCAACGAGCACTTATGGAATCGAAAAAAAGATAACCTTGTTGCGTACTCGAACTCGAACAAAGATCTACTGTCTCTTGAGCCCAGGTTTCAGATCAGATGATTTTTCGGGCCGGCTGAAAAGAGTAAAGTTTGGTTTTGGATCGGCCCATAGTTTAGAGTCCTTAGAACTGTATATCTTGGAAAATTGGGCAAATATTAGTTTGGCTCAGTTCACTTTTTTCAAATGGCTATTTCAATCCTCTGTAAAAAAAAAAAAAAAAAAGACCTTAATGTGATCTATCTTGGTCGCTCCGATCATGATATTTCACTCATGATCTGGCCCCGTCGACCGAATCATGATATTGAAGGATGGAATATTTTCTCGAAAAACTCTGAATATATAGTACAAAACTAATGTAGAGTACAATAGTGTGAATTAAGAAGTCGTGGCGGAGTAAAAGTGCAAGACAACGCTAACAATTTGCTTTAGAAGGAGATGCTAGTTATCTTCTTACTTGAATCTTCTCAGTTCTTTTTCTTATCTTATAATGTTGTTTGATGATCGATTAGTTTTTAGATCACCATTTAAGGATAACCTTTGCAAAAAATTAACCAAATAAAAACTCGTTAAGTGAGACACATGATTTGTCAATTTATTGGATAACCGTTAAATGAATGAACTATTTTAGATTTAGTTAATTTTTGCATGGATGATGTTTAGAGGGTGACTTAGAAAATATACAATTTGGTTCATCGCAAAAAAAAAAATTAAAAAAAATTGCTTAATAAGAAGACCACGTCCTGTGATCCTAATTTTAAATCCTACTTAACAGCTATAGAGATGCATTTATTAGTTCAAGTACATGACCTAGGAGACCAATATAATGTTTGAACGGCTACCAATCTGCGAGAAACTGAGACATGCACTCGTAAAAAGTTAAAAAAAAAAAAAAAAAAAAAAAACCTCATGCACTTGTGGTTCTTAATTAAGCATGCATGCGTTTGGAGATAAGATTCATGCCTCAAGAACAATCACAGATACATACAGAGGGGATTGATGGCAAGGTAATACACGTACACTTCGTCTCCATTCAACTCACTGTTGCAATGCTCTCACTCGCCACTTAATCCCAGGTCCACCTGGAACACTTTTGTGGGAAGTACGGTCCGTCGGCTTGTCCTTCCTCCGGAGAACCCGAAGAAGCCCGAAGGGCCGGTAGGTAGACGCTTAAAGCTTGAAGTGAGCTGAACTTGTCCTGTCCAGAATAAGATTGGCAAGAAAAGTTTGATATTTTTAGTTGGTCTTTCACGACTCTATGATGTAGTGACAGCTTCGGTTATTTGTCAAGACGTATGAAGTTTAAATTTCATGAACGATAGTTGAATTTAAAAATTAAAAAAAAAACAGAGAGAAAAATTTGGGTTGGGCCAGGTTCAAATTGAGCCGTCAATTAACTGCAGATGCCAAGCAGCCAATCTAGACCGCTGAGCTAAGGTTCATTTCATATCAGAAAAAATTGGAGGAGACTTCCAATAGTTGCTGCCTGTTGATGAAGCTAATTCCTATGATCACAGAGACACAGAACCTGGAAAATTATTTAAGCTAAAACCCTAATTACTAGCAAATGAGAAATATGTCATAGGCAGGTTGGAGCTCTTTCTCCCTAGTCATGTCCATGGTGTTTTGGATAAAGAAATTTTAGTTTCTCTTGGGATCTTGGTTATGTTGTGCAACATTGCTTTATATTCTGGTTCTTTGTCATCCTTCTCGGTGTCTTTGGGTCAAAGTGAATATGGCTTGCTAAGAGAAACCCAGGTCGTACAACACTACAACTTGCGGTGGGGTTTTTTTAACTATATGGGATGGTTTTTTTGTGGTTTCTTCCTGAGCTTTGGGAAATCAAGATGTCATCCTTATTGTTGTGTTGGCTCAACTGTGTGGTTGGCAAAATCTTTAGTTTGAAAGTGACCCTTTCAGTGTGATATTTTGTTTTGCTTCTGACTTTTTTTCTCTTTTTTGGTAGCTTCAGACTTGTTGGAAAATTGTCTTTCCCTATTGCAGTACATGGTTTTTTGTTGTTCACAACAGACACACACACACATATATTTGAAAAGGCAATAATATAGGGCTCTTTTGGAAGTGTTTTTAAAATAATTAGAAGTATTTTTGGTATAGATGTTTTTAAAACCAATCCTTTGTAATTATCCAAGTGAATCCTAGAAAAACATTTTAAGTGTTTCCTGCAAGAAGCACATATCTAGTGCTTCTTCCAAAAAAAAAAAACTTAAATTGCTTTTAGAACTCAAAATCAATTTCACCGAAAGCACTTTTAGTCATTTTAAAAATACTTCCAAACAATCCTATAATTGCTGACAAAAAAGAGTATAAATTAATAATATGTCTAGTAAAAGCAAAGTAAAAATATAATAGAAATAAAATCCAAATCAAATTGAAAAAAAAATAATATATATATATATATATCGAACTAGACACAGCACTGGTTATGCTAACTAGCTAGGATTTCCTCTTTTACAAAACTAAATTAAAGACAAATACCCCATTTATGGGAAAGAAAAAACAAAACCCTTGTGCCTAATGTCGTGAATTTGACTAATGTGTTTAATTTCACCAGATTAATTAGTTAGAGTTTTATATGGTATAGGTCCTATAGGAAGGAAAGGGAAAATTTAAATAGAAAAATGGAACTGTTATAACTTGTACTCTAAAAAAGTCGTACTTTAGGTAGAATTTCTCTTTTATATTGTTCTGCAATGACATTTCTTATCAATAACAACTATCTTAAAAATCTCATAACTTCATAAGTGACTTTTGGAAATTTATTAGTGTGTCAAAAATACAATCATGTAACATTATTATATAAACCTTAAATGCATTTTTTAAATATATATTCTCTAAAAATAAGTCATATCGATTAATACTGTCCAATTTTGTTATAAAACATAAACTGGTACATTACGTAACGTTTGTTTCCAAATTAAACTTAAGAAATTTCTGGTGACTTTGAAATGAAACTTTAGTATGCCATGACGTTTTGACAAGTGGATGTGGAATTATTGGTAGCTTCATTTTTCACATGCTCATATAATTCTAAACTGAAACTCCAACGCCCAGTCTTTGGCCACCTAATCCCACCTCTCTCCTCTGACCCAAAAAAAAAGTCTCACTCACTCTCTCTCTCTCTCTCTCTCTCTCTCTCTCTCTCTCATACGTAGAGAAAGAGACACTCAATGTTGCAATCATATGAAGCCACGCGCGCAGGCTGAGCACAGCATGACTGATCAGCACGAACTGTCGGGTAGACCGACCAGTCAAAACCCCCCACAATATCGCCAAACTCTTTCCCACTAATGCTCTCTCTCTCTCTCTCTCTCTCTCTCTCTCCTAAAAACTCTTCCCATCAGCCATATCCAACGACCATTCGTATTTCCACTGAATTTTTAACACCCTCACCCTATCTTATTCTTATAGATGTAATGAACTTATATACCACGGTTATATTATTATCGTGAACTCTCATATCAACAATAAACGTTTAATAAAAAAAAAATTCATATTAATATATCATTGTCATATAACGTTATGATAATAATATACGCGTAACATATGAGTTTTTATTTTTAAAAGCCAAAGTCAAGAGGTAAAAATGATGGCAATTCTTGGGATGCAACTAACGTATCTTCCTCAAAGTCATCATCTACCTTTTCACTCTTCTTCTCAACTCCTCTCTCGCTCTCTCACCTGCTGGTCTGCTTTAACGTTCTCCTCACCTTCTCTTCTCTCCTTAAAGTTCTCCACCTTTCTATTTTTCCTTTATGTACTCTTCATATATCAGTTTGGTGTTTGATCATTAGCTAGCTCTGCAAACTCACCTCCTCCTTTCTGCTGCCTTTTCACTTACCTATCAAACCCAAAATCCCAAAACTGGAACCCCTTTATCTTTTCTCTTACTCCTTAATTTTTTTAGCTTAATCTAGATGTTATTTCATGGAAAAAAGGGAGAGTTAGGAAAAAACGATAGCTAGCTTAAACTCAACTCTCTCTCTCTCTCTCTCTCTCTCTCTCTCTCTCTCTCTCTCTCTCATTAAGACTAGTAGAGGTAGAGAGAAGGTCAGGTGGCCAAAAATGGCTTTGCCGCCGCCAAGTAGCAGCCGCCTCCGCGGTATGTTGCAGGCCTCAGTCCAATCTGTTCAATGGACTTACAGTCTCTTCTGGCAAATCTGTCCCCAACAAGGGTACGTCTACCTAACCCAGAAACCCTACCGTACCTTCAATTTCATTTCATTTCAATTCATTAATTCTTCAAGAAAATTAATTAATAAATGTAATTATTATTCATCATGATGAATACATCAGGATCTTAGTATGGTCAGATGGGTACTACAATGGAGCCATCAAGACGAGGAAGACGGTGCAACCAATGGAAGTGAGTGCCGAGGAGGCGTCTCTCCAGCGGAGCCAGCAGCTAAGAGAGCTCTACGACTCTTTGTCTGCTGGAGAGACGAACCAGCCACCGGCCCGCCGCCCTTGTGCCTCCTTATCCCCGGAGGACTTAACCGAGTCCGAATGGTTCTACTTGATGTGTGTCTCATTCTCCTTTCCCCCCGGCGTCGGGTAAGCAATTAATAACACCTCATTATGCTTCCATTTAATTACTTGGCCATATAGATTTCCATGTTCCTCTTCATTCCCTGCAAACTTCTTCAATTTTTAATAATTCCTGACAAATATATTATTGCTTTTTGTGGTGTAAGTTCAGTGCAAAACTCTGCAACTATTAGTAGAATTTTTTTTATGGTAATGTGAATATTCAACTCGTTTATTAATTGTTTCACACAGCTGTTATGTCATACGTAACAGGTAAAATTTATTTAAAATGCTTCCTTAATTTACAAAATATAATGAGAAACCCTATCAATGTTGCTATTATTAACTTACAGGGGGTTATATGGAAAAAAAATAAAAATAAAAAACTTACAGCGGTTATATATCCTCATCTGTTTTTTATTCCCAAAAGCTTAAGATATATACTTGAGTACTACACATTAAAGATGAATATTGTAGAATTACTGTTTTGATGTGCCATAATAACTCCGTACACACACTTTCTCCTAACACATGTGATAAATATTTAGGGGTATTGTTCAAGGCTATCTCTGACATTTAAGGGTCCTGTACGAATTTAATTGAAATCAGCATTTTAGTCTTACTAATTGAATAATCTCCAATTGCTATGAAATCATGATTTACGGTTCGTCCATAAAAAATTGGATCATGTTTGAAAGAAGGAGATGAAAATACAATTGTGTTTGTGGAATAAAGCAATACACGAGTTAGTTTTTTGTTAAGAAAAGTGGAAGAAAATAATACACAATTTTTTTTTCCTAGAGAAAAGTGAAAAGTTAATATATTATATTAAGTATAAGTTTCAATTAATCAATTGTAATATAGATAAAATCATATGATGAATTTTCTTTTCAATTAAAAACTTTTTTATTAGAAAATTTATACTCATATGTAATACATAGGAGGATAAATTTTTTTAGAGCCCCTCATAAATTTTGGATTCTGTGCCACTACACCTTTTACATACCCCAACACCCCATTTGGCATGAGAAATGATCATCTCCGAATCCTTTCCACCAAGTCCACCAAGGCACATAATCCGGGTTTTTGAAATTTGATCTAACGGCTACAAACAGGGGCTCATTTTAAAAGTTATAACAACTTTTGTTGTTTGATCAAATTTCAAAAGTCTGAATTACGTGCCCTGGTGGACTTGATGGAAATGATCAGGAGAGAATCCTTTCCCCTTGGTATTGTCAATCAGTATTAACAACTACTGCAAATGAAAAGCTCAATTTCCGGTATATATCGTACTCATTGTGGTTGATGGATTTAGTACTTGGTATAGTTGCATGCATGAGTACAAACAATGCCCTGCGTATTGAGCCTCCCATCTAACATTTCAACATTTTTTGTTGATACTTGCCTGTGACATTTATGATATTTGACAAATACTCTTAAATTTGCTTTCTGTATATAGACAATAGGACACTGTATAAGTGTGTGTGTAAACAGCTGGCAATGAGATATAATCATATAAGTGTGGTAAATGTGGGTGAGCCAAAAGATGTCGGGAACTGTAACTTTTCCAAAGATGAAAATAATTATCTACAAATGTAAGGCTGTGGTTAAGAGTGAAAGAATGCATCTTGGCACATGTGAATCTCTACATTGACGATAACACCGTCTCCTTCAATATCTTTGTCAGTCAAACTTTACAAGCCCAAACAACTTCTCTAAATTCAAAGTGCCCCGTCGTTAGTTTAGTGATGTTTTGTTTGTTTGATCTTGCTTTGTCTCTTTGTATACATGCGTGTCATACATATACACAACAATACGATACACATGCAGAAAATATTGACATGTCTGTTCTTGAAGTCCGTTTCAAATAATACATAATACATATATACGAGCTCCTTTTTAGCATGGATCCTATATTCTCTACTGTAACGAAAACCCTAACGCTAAACTTTAAGGTAAAACAGGATCCCTGCTAAAAAAACTGCTCCTATATACTTTGTGCTAAGTAACCAAACTTCAATATTCTTGATGTAGTTTTTTCTGTTTGTTATGTAAATAAAGCATTTGATCATCGTGATATTCTTCTTGCTTTTTCTATAACTGCACTACTTATGGAATTCTAGTCTGTTGAGGAGTTAATGAAGGACAGTTTGCTTAGATACGTTTGTTAAATTTTTTACAATTTTAAGATTGGAAACTGCTTAATTTAGAGACTGGTGGGGGAATATATTCTCATATTCTGGGACTCTGCAGAGGGATTTGGCTATTTATAGATGGAGTGAATTTATATAAATTAAATTTTTGACGTTGAAATATCTAGCTAGTTATCACTTACTTCTTCACCTGCTTCAGTGGGATGGAAGCTACTTGTTTGGGATAACAGACAATCAAATGTGTTCATCAATGCCAGACACACAGCTAAAGGAGAATCTGTATTATTCTCTCTCTTGTGTGGGAGTAGGTCAAATAATGTATCGAGCCCGCACTCTTATGCCCCTTCTTAAACCCACTGGATTTAAAACGACGTGCTTTTTCAGATATATGGAATTACTGCAGCTCTCTAGTTCTAGGTCATGCGCTTTAGAGATGCCTTTCGGCACCCACCACATGCAGTAGCACTCAACTTAATTTGTTGCTACATGTTTACATTTCTAGGTGGTGCTACCCTTTTTACTTTTTACACTCCTCTTAATTTTTGGTTATCGAATCGAATGAAGTGATAAAATTAACAGGGTGTGTGGAAGGTAAAAATGAGCATGTGGAAGGTAAAAAGAAGTGTGGATGGCACAATACCTCATTTCTATTATTTAACTAGTGAAAATCCATAAAATAGCTATATAAAAGCATTTTTAAATGCTTTAAAGCGCTTCCAAATAATTAAAAAATCGTTAGAAAAGCAATCGGCAGTGGTTTCTAAACAGGTGCTTCATTCAAGTAGCACTTCAAATACTTTTTTTGAGAATTATTTAGGTTTATATTGAGATAACATGTTTGTAATAGAAGTTCTTCCGGTAGGAAACGGTATGAGCATAAGTGATGTTCAAAAACGCATTTTCAAACGAGACCTAAAGCTAGCAGCTAGCTAGCAATATGCATCCCTCACCCTAATGTATAGAAGCCTGCCTATTTACTTGCACTAACTGAAACATTTACCGTTTATGTGTGTCTACCTCTTCATATTTCAAAGCTTCGTATGAGCATACAAAGCTAGTTATATACTATATGATTATGATAGGATAATAATTTAAATGGTTGATTAAGGAAGATTTTGATATGCGTACGAACGTAGGTTGCCAGGTAAAGCATACGCAAGGAGGCAGCATGTATGGCTCACCGGTGCAAACGAGGTCGATAGCAAAACCTTTTCCAGAGCTATTTTGGCAAAGGTACCATCTATACTAAACAAAGCCAACCTCTATCTCCTTTGTGCAGCTTTATAAATACAATACTGTACTGTAAAAACTCAAGTTATTACAAACTAGCTGGCCTCAAATCCTACCTAGGGAGTAATTCCATACCCTATATCTGTTTTTGTTGTCATGTTTCCTAAATTATTATTAAATAGTTTGGTAAAAGTAAGCCATCGAGATTAGCCTGATGGATGTTATGCAGCACGTAATTTAGGTCCAGAGTTTGAAATCCGCTAATGTATATGAGAGCTTGGCAAAAGTAAGCACCCATAATGCAGACGTAACTTAAATCACTAGGTTAGAATAGTGTAAAGCCTCATTGTACTTAATTTTGAATTCGAACTTTTTAGATTAGAATAGTTTAGAACGTTATGCTTAAAAATAAAAACTAAGTACCATTGTAACGTCCTTCCATATAGTGTTTAATGAGATTATGTCTTCACGTATTCTGCATTACAAACTTAATTGTGTTTCTTTGCATGACTCTACAGAGTGCTCGTATACAGACTGTGGTGTGCATTCCTCTTCTAGACGGCGTCGTAGAGTTTGGCACCACAGAGAGGGTACGTAATAATTTTTATTTTTTTTTTGTTAGTCAAATTAAAAGGTCACCTTATTTATGCATGTTTAATTATGTATTAAAATATTTTGTTATTGTACGTATTAATTTAATGTAGGTTCCAGAAGACCACGCCTTCGTCCAACGCGTCAAAACCTTCTTCGTTGACCACCACCACCCTCCGCCCCCAAAACCCGCCCTCTCCGAGCACTCCACCTCCAACCCCACCACCTCATCCGACCACCCACATTTCCACTCCTCAAACCTCCTACCAGCCATGTCCACAGACCCTCCTCTCAACGCCGCCCAAGAAGACGATGAGGACGAAGAAGATGATAATCAGGAGGAGGACGACGGAGCCGAATCCGACTCCGAAGCTGAAACGGGCCCCAATGGTGGAGCCATTGTTCCCGCTGCAAATCCTCCTCAGGCTTTGGCCGCAGTTGCCGAGCCAAGCGAGCTCATGCAACTCGAGATGTCCGAAGACATCCGGCTCGGCTCCCCTGACGACGCCTCAAATAACTTGGACTCTGATTTCCACTTGTTAGCCTTAAGTCAGTCTAGGAATCCAGCCGATCAGCAGCGCCAAGCTGACTCGTATCGAGCCGAGTCAACCCGGCGGTGGCCGTCAGTACAAGAGCCACTGAGCAGCGGCCTTCAACCGCCGCACTCAGGTACTATAAAACTTAGTAATTAATTGGCATACCCTTCTTTTGTTTTGTTTTTTTTTTACTTCTTAATGTCAATAGAGTAAAAATTAAAATCAACAATTTATAGACATTAGTTTCCTTGAAAATGCGAGCAAGTTTGTGATTATACAAAAAAAAAAGAATTTCAATATATCATGAATACGGCTCGTTATAACAAGTATCATAATATATGTGTTTGAATACTTTAAAAGAATTTATAACTGTTTATATTATGATAACACCTTATACTATGGTGTACCAAAGTGTGCTATACATTGAAAAATTCCACGCGCTGCCTGCATGCGTGGTTTGAACGAAAAAACTCTTCCATTCTCGGGATTGTACCACGTGGTTTGAAAGAAAAAAGACAAAACCCTAAAGCAAAAGTTCAACCTGCATGCGTGGTTTTCCTAGCCGCGTGAAAAAACTGGCCAATTTGCTCCTTTGATTTCATATTATATTTGGACTAGGAGCAAGTTTCAATTAACCTTCATAAAGTTCAATGTTAAATGTTGAATTAAGTACTTCTTAATCAAGCTTTCAACCTAATCATTATTATAACTAATTGTCTGTTTGTTGGTATTTTCTTGGCAAATTATTGCAACCTAATTTGTTTGGTGTGTTCAGGACCCCTAGCGTTAGAGGAGTTGACAAATGATGACACACATTACTCGGAGACGGTCTCCACCATACTCCAGGGACAATCGGCTCGGTGGATGATGAATTCGTCCACCGATTATGCAGTTTGTTCGACTCAGTCAGCTTTCGCAAAGTGGTCGAGCCGAGTTGATCACCACCTCCTTATGCCGGTCGAAGGCACATCCCAATGGCTCTTGAAATATATCTTGTTCAGTGTACCGTTCCTCCACTCAAAATACCGTGACGAGAACTCGCCGAAATCTCACGAGGGTGAAGCCTCGACTCGGTTGAGGAAAGGGACCCCACAAGACGAGCTCAGCGCCAATCATGTGTTAGCGGAACGACGACGTAGAGAGAAGCTTAATGAGAGGTTTATTATACTAAGGTCGCTTGTGCCTTTTGTGACAAAAATGGACAAGGCTTCCATATTAGGGGACACAATCGAGTACGTGAAGCAACTGCGTAAGAAAATTCAGGATCTCGAGGCACGTAACGTGCCGATGGAGGATGATCAACAGTCGAGATCATCCGGGGAAATGCAAAGGTCGAGTAGTTGTAAAGAGTTGCGAAGTGGGCTCCCGGTAGTAGAGCGGACACAGGCCGGTCACGGGTCGGATAAAAGGAAGTTGAGGATTGTGGAAGGAAGCGGTGGCGTCGCCATTGCTAAGCCTAAAGCAATGGAGGACTTACCGCCTCCACTGCCGCCACCACCACCTCAGCCAGAACCGTCACCGACACCTATGGTGACGGGAACTTCTTTAGAGGTGTCAATAATCGAGAGTGACGGGTTGTTGGAGCTCCAATGCCCGTATAGAGAAGGGTTATTGCTTGATGTGATGCAAACACTTAGAGAGCTAAGAATTGAGACCATGGTTGTCCATTCCTCATTGAATAACGGGTACTTCGTAGCTGAACTAAGGGCCAAGGTACGTAATTTACATAGTATTTCACCTTCACCATGCAATATTAGTTAATGAGAATTATTTTTCTGATTTTTTGACATTTTTTAATTTCAATTTTTTCAGGTGAAGGATAACGTGAATGGCAAGAAAATAAGTATTACGGAAGTGAAGAGGGTGATAAATCAAATTATACCTCAATCTGACTCTTAATCCGTTATTAGTTGTGTTTGTGTAAAAATCTGCAGGACGATTTAGGATAAGCAGTTTGTGTACGTAATTAAAGAGTTTTGAAGGGGAAAAAATTGGAAAACAAAATAATTCTGATTGGTGTTTATGGGTCATCAGTGCTACTTACTATACAATGTTAACTAGAACATTTTTTTTTCTTTCTTTTTACTAATTGGTGTGTATTGTTTATTCCCCTGTATTGTAATCTAACAAAGTGTATTATTTCCAAGACATTTAGAATAATCTAAAAATCATTATATCTTTCATGTTTTGTTGTTGCAAATCTTTCGTATTCCATTCGTCATACACACATGCTATGAACTTATAATGTGTTTAATTCTGGCAAGAGGCGTGTAATCCAAATGATTAAGAACATGTTCTATTGCACTTGAGGTCTTGAGTTTAAATTCACCTTCTCCTAATCAAATGGTCTAAAATCGAAGCAATTACCAACACTCCAAAACCATCATTCTTCACCTCTCCAAAAATGTCATTACATGAGGAGTGAATGATTGTCTTGGAGTGCCAACGATAGTATACATCAACAACCAAGTTTTATCTCATTAAGTAAGGTCGGTTGTATGAATTATTGTGCACAGTTTTGCGCTAAATCTTCCGTTAGCTCCAAGTACTTCATATATTTTCTTATAGTCTTTCAAAATCTTCCTAGGTCTTCCTTTACCCCTAACGCCGATGATAACATCCATCTAAAATATACAAAAGTTATGCAAAAGGGGAAATTCATGGGAAACCAATCCGCGTAGAAATGAGGATAAACAGCTAGAACTTTTATAAACTCATGGCCATGGTAAACATCTAATAACTAGTCAAAACTGAGGTTCAAAAATGTAGCTCTAGCCATAATTTGATCATGAGAAAGACAAACTACAAGCCAAAAATCTACACGACTATGAATTTGTACAGCATATTTCAATCCTGAAACCCGGAAAATCAAATTTGAGTGAAATTTTTATCGTAAGGCTGTGCCATGCTCCGGTAGGTAACTGCTCAGATCACCGATAACAAAATCTCCTAAGTTGGCCAAACTCTTCCGTGCAGGACTGATAACTGGCCAACGAAGAACCAAAAACCCACAAACCGCGACACAGCTTTCAGGCAGAGTCCTTAACGCAGCAAATCATTAGCAATGCTTTCGCCCATCTTCTCTAAGTCTTCTTGGGATAAAAGGGTTTTCTTACCGCTGCCGCCACCAACCTTATCATATGGTTGAGCCATCTTCCTAAGGAACTGTTTTCAAGATAAGAAAAGATTAACATACCAAAAGATAAATCGCATGCAATTCTAATCAACTGCCAGAAGCTTCAACAAGGTGAAAGATCGATTTTATCATCATAACGCTGGGTGATTCTGGCAGAAAAAGGAAACTAAAAACACTACGTATTTTTAGATATTTTTCTGACTCAGTTGAAAAAGTAGCAATCGCACTTCATCAGCCCAAATAAGATGTGTTTCAATGCTTCGGTTTCGATCCTTCTAGTTTATTCTCTTTGGGTCCCAAAATCATCTAGCACAGTTCTAAAGGGATGGTTTACTAGGTCACAACAGACTGGTAAAACAATTGATGAACGACTCGAAAGGAAAACCACAAAAACAAAGTCTAATAGACATGCATATTTCAGGCTAATTTTTTGAAAGGAAAACCACAAAAACAAAGTCTAATAGACATGCATATTTCAGGCTAATCAATAAACGTATTAAGATAGTAGAAATATGTGATAACAAATAAGGACAAACCTCTCGTGCTATATGCAGAGCCATGTCCGTGCTCAAGTTCAGATGTGCATCACGTAAATGCGACAGTATCCATCCAGGCAATTTGGATCGCTTGTCATGACGGCTATATCTGAAGTTGAAGTTAAGCACCCAAAAATCAGTGCCTAATGTTTAACTAGAGCTTCCAGTAGTGAATTCATGATATTGGAATTCAAATAAAAAAGAACACAGGAACACAAACCTTTTGTCAGCAAAAATCATCATGCCATAGTCTGCTTTTGACCGGATGACTCGGCCTACACATTGAGCTGCTTGTCTCTGCACCACAGAACCCAAAACGTTTAGAAAACATGTCTTAAAAAAACAAATATTTCTTATACGTTATGAAAGGCACTGCAATGATACCAAGGCATCAAACGTCAAAAAGTCTCCTTCCTTTATTTGAAAGGTATCCCGCAAGTATTCCAGCCGCGCAAGCAAAATCCTGCGAGAAAAAGTATGTCAAGCCACAGGCGTAAAATTTGTTTCAGTCCAACAAAACCCCAAAGCACTAAAATTTAAAACATGCAGAAAATTTGATTCAAAATACCCTTTTACAATAAATAAACAAAAGAGATGAACTCACTTGCTTAATGTGTACTGGAAAGGAATTCCAAACATGATCACCAATCGTCCATAATGTCGATCAAAGTCTATTCCTTCAGCTACTTTTCCCCTGTGAAAGTACAGACATAATATTACTCATGAGAGAACTGTGTCACCCATCAATTGTAATATTGAAAGTTCTGAAATGTGTGTGGCATGGAACAATGGATAGCTTTCTAAATATGACAGCGTACACAAATAGCAAAAAGGTACTCCATCCTTTTTTTTCCTTTTTGAGTGAAGGGCACTCCATCCTTTTTATTTTAATTGCACATTAATAATAAAAAAAATTTGAATGTTTTATAATACCTGGCAACAGACAAGAAGACAGCACCCCTCCCACAATCACAAGCCTTACGATAATTGTCAAGAGCCAAAGTAGTCTCTACCACATCTTGGGTCTCAATGAAAACAAGCTTATGCTGCATTATTTCCTGCGACAATGGGAGCAGTAAGCACCTTTCTGAAAAACTAACTTCATCAAAAACTTGGAGAAGAGGACAAAGAAAGGGTCCACAGATACCCAGGAAAAGCAAGAGACAGAGATAGTGCAGTTACCTTCAAAATTCCATTTTCATTCCAGCTATTGACTATCATATCCATATAAGAGTAACTGACAAAAAAACATACAACCCCATCTGGAACAACAGAAACCATCTCCAGCAGCAACCTCCCATAGTTCCTTACTACGCCAAGATCACTTCTCATATCATATTTGGTACTTACTGGAAGCTGATCACTGAAATAATATACGAGAGCAACCTTTAGATACTACCTAATAGGATTAAAGGCTAAATATAATAGGCAACTTATGATATGATAAGAATAATAAAGTTTACAACTCCCCTACTACAATGAATAAAGAGAAATGAAATGTAAGCACAAAAAAACTTTTCTGATGTTTATACCTTCCACGGGTGAGAACCATTGGGCATATGCAATCTCTTGTTAATGACATAGTAAAACTTCGACTGACGACAGGATGGAAATTAAGAAGACGGGGGTAGAGATCAATCGGGCTCAAGGTTCCAGATGTAATCACAACTGATTGAAATCGATCAAATACAGGCTTTATGGCAAGTGAAGCATCATGACAGCAAAGCTGGAAAACCAAATATGAAAAGACTAGATCAGAACTGAAAACATCTTCAGTCCATCCATTACCAAAGCAATATAAGTAGATCAAGCAAAAGGCAGACAGACTCTTACAGTAAATATGCAAGGGAACATATTGCAGGAAGATTTTATAATAACCATCACATCATTAGTTTCAATAGAGTGCACATAAAATTTTAAAAATTGTTGAAAGTGGTGTAATATGTTTAACCAATTGTTCAATTTTCAGAAATCAATCAATCTTCATTTGTATTAAAAATGTAATTTGAAAAGAAAAAAACACGAAAACTAACCTGTAAAACAGGATCAGGAATGTGCGGCATTCTCTCATCAAATGGTTCAATTATAACAGAGAATCCACGAGTGTATGTCCCCACAAGTGTCGCAAAGTCGCAAATCGTTTGAATGTGTAAGAATTCATCTGTGTCAGTAATTTCTAACGTCATCATTAATGAGTGTAGGCGATCATAACAAAACTTCAGAGTTTTCTGGTCAATTCCAGCTTGTGTACTGATAGTGGCAACAAAACTAACAGGGCCTTCCTTCTCAACATTCTCAGTTTCGAGACGGCCTTCCAGATGATTGACCAATCTTCGTAACACATGCACAAAATGGTCTGCTTTACGAATATTTCCAGGCACAGCCTCCTTCAAAATATCATCAGGTAGAGCAGGATTTTGAAGCCAAGTATCTGTGACTGCATATGCAGAAGAAATAAGAAGTTATGAGAACTCGGGAAATCATCAAACAAAAATTAAGTGCCAATGGAAGAAAATCATGGGAATGAGCAATCAACATACTAGGTAGGTTTCCTCCTTGTGCCAAACCCTCAACTAGCCGGTTGTATTCTTTACGCAATCTATCTGCATCGGTGGCCTTGAACCTACCTACCATGTCAAGCAAATGAATGAAAATCTGTATTAAACGTAAGAGAACTAACTAAGAAAGCTGGAAACAAGCCTATCCAGGAATAATCTTAGCCAGTACTTTGAACAAACCCTGATAAAATAAAAAGAGACGGATAAGTGATGCAATGCGTAAAGCCCCCTCAAAATTACGGAGCTGAGAGAGTTTGAATTCAACAAAACCATAACCAATCATTTCCAAACAAAAGAAGCACCTACCTTTCAATGTCATGCTGCATCTTACTGAGATTCCTCCTGGCACCCTCAATTGTCTGCCTCCTCACGCTAACACTAAGCGCTTCGATACACACATTATCGATGTTATGAGCCTCATCAAACACCACAACAGACTCCTTTTGCATTTCCTTGGAAATAATCCCAGCCACTTTTGGATCAAGCATGTACTGATAACTATAAACCACCACATTCGAAAACTGCACCATATGCCTCGCCAAGAAGTAGGGGCACCACCCTTTCTGCTTCCCATACGCCCTCAAATCCTTAATTTTCACACAAAACAAACCAACCCAATTGCAATCACTCCATTCCGAGAAAACATAAACAAAATTTTCAAAACCCAAT